TGAAGTGCGGGTTCCATGGGGAGGGGGCTCCAACCTGAGACTTCCCCGAAATTCACTCACAAACGAGGGTTCGCCTGAGGCGTCTGCAAGATTCAGGCGTGAGGGGCCCAACAGTGACGACAGCCACAGGATCTGGATGACCTACTCCGATTGCCAGCATAAAGTGCGGGCTCCATAGGGAGGGGGCACCCGCCTGAAAATTTCTCGCACTTCACTCACAAACGAGGCCGCTCTTGGCTGATGATCATGATGGGATGGTGATAGTGATGATGATGCTGCTGCTGCTGCTGATGATGATGATGACGGTGGTGTGCGCTGCTGGTGGCCAGTGATCATGATGGGATCAGGACGAAATGGCGACTGAGTGATGAATGAATGTGAGTGAGTGAGAAGAGTGAAAAGTTGCCGATGAGGGTTGATGATGCTGATGGGATGGTGGTAGTGAAAATGATGGTGAGTGGGACGATGACTGATGGTGGTGATGATGATGATGATGATGATGATGATGTGGACGACTCCGTGGCCAGACGATTCTTTTTGTGCAAGAGGGCGCCAGGCGAGGACTCGAAATCTGATGCCGCGGGGGCCAGCACCAGGCCAAAGAAAACATTCTTGAGTTGGGAGACAAGGGGGGGAGGGAGAGACTTGAGAGTGGAAGCGCGGCCCGAAGGAGAGCCACAAATAGCCGCGGGCAGCATAATGTGGACGACTCCGTGGCCAGACGATTCTTTTTGTGCAAGAGGGCGCCAGGCGAGGACTCGAAATCTGATGCCGCAGGGGCCAGCACCAGGTAATATGGCTAGTCCAAGACACTGGCTGAAAGCCGCAATACTTGAATGAAAACTCACACACATCTCGATAGTCGGGAGACGTATCGAAGGCTATCGACGCTGCTGGCCATCATTTCACATGCGAATCGTAGGATACAGGCAGGTGGGTGGCGCGCAGCGCTGCGCATCTGACGGTCTACCGATGGGATGCCTAACTCGCCGAGGTGTCGCTTGCGAGTGCGACGGCACGGCGAGGCAACAGGCGGACCGGTCAGGGATAGCCGATCAATATTCTTCACGCTCCAGCGTACAAGCCGAAATCTGCTTCTGACGCGACCAGCGCACATGCATGAGTCGAAAACTGTCGAAGAAGAACACTGGCTCACAAGAGTGGTGCACGCACGGCCGTCCCATATAAAAGACGCGTCGGGATGGCATAAAATGGCGGGCACTTTCTTCTCACAGCATTCAGACAGGACGCGCAAGTACTGATCCTGAAAGAGATTGGCGATGCAAACAGATCGAGCTCTACAGTTGGTCAAAGACGGGAGGCCGCGAAGGTGCAGCTTAGACCGCACAGCAGGGGACTGACGAAGCCAGGTAGCGGTGTCGGGCTCCACCCACACGCACGAGAGGCAGCTAGAACGAATCCAGCCTAAAACGCGCCGTATCACTGCGGGATCGGTGATGTCGTCACCTGCGTGGCGACTCGAGTCGAGGCGCGCGACGCCAAAGCCCTACCGCTGCAGGGCGCGGACCGCCCCACCGTCGCAGCCGAGCACCAGCGCAGGGCAGTACCTGCTCCTCGTAGACGCCCGCCTGGCAGAGCGCCAGAGGCGCGTCAGGCGAAGGCCCACCGTGCAGTGATCTGCGGGGGCTGCGGCCTGACCGCAGGCGGCGTCGGCGTCACTGCCAGAGGCACCTTCAGTTGGAAGACGCCCGAGGCCGTGGTCTGCAGGATGGGGTCGTTCATCTGCCTGTCCACCTGCTCGCCGAACTCCACGACGTTCTGGCCTAGGCTGGCGATCCGCCGCTGCATGCGGGCCCGCTTCGCGTAGCGGAGGAGGCTCTGGTCCGTCCTCCAGCGGCCGCGGTCCTTGACCTCCTTCCTCGTGCGCCTGAGCGACAGCAGGTCGTCGGACGCACCCCCATGACGAAGCGAGTAGAGAGTCAACTCGGTCTCCAGACCGAGGGCAGCTGCCGCTCGACGGAACATACTCCGCACCTCGTCGGGGGCGAAGGTCCACGGGAAGGTCCACGGGCCGTCGGTCGGGCCCTTGTCGTGAACCAGGGCCTCCAGGAGCGGCCAGATGGTCGGGTTGTCGACGATCCCGCTCTCGTCCATCTCGCCTGTCTTGCCAGGGCGGTCGAGGCAGGCGTCGTTGACGATCAGGGCCCAGTGGCCGTGCCCCAGGACGCCGTCGGGTCGAGGTCGTATCACGCTCCCTGCCGTGAGGCGGTACGCCTCGCTGGGCCTCAGGTATGTGTCGAACATCAGCCTGATGAACACAGCCATGCCGATTCCACGCTATCAGGACACCCACGATGGACGCCATCGCCGCTCGAGGAAGAGGGAGTCGCATCTGAGGGGGACCGAGCTTCCGCCAGCCTGTCAAGGCGCGAGCCGCCCGTGGGCACGGAGTCCTGCCAGCGAGGATCGCGGGCAGGTAGTGCTTCAGAGCGGCCATGAGTACACGGCCCGTGGCACTGTCGAAGCCGTCCAGAAAGAGGTTCACGAAATAGGTAACTAGGATGATATCGACCTCCTCTGCCGTGGTGAACGTCTGGGACGTCCAGCGGCACCACTCCTCGAACTTCTTGGCGGCGCCCCAGTAGTTGGCCATGGTCGTGTCCGACGCGGCGGCCGTCTCCAGCACCGACAGGGCCCCTCGGGCGAGTAGCACTGGCCCAGGATGGGTCTTGGTCCTTTGCTCCGCCAGTGTCGTGGTCCGCTGCCGTCGAAGTTCGGGGGGCATTCGCTTGGTGCTCCTCGAAGGTCGGCCCGACGAAGAAGCCCGTCCTGGACGGCGAGTCAGCGGCATTGCTCTCGCTGGGGATCCACCGAATGGCGTGGCGGATGCCCGTGGCCGCCGACAGGGCGCATAGACGGCGTAGATGGTCGCGAAGGCCTCGGGCGCCAGAACGGCCCTTGCCAGCGGCAAGAGCTAGAGCCAAATTGTCAACGGTGAGCAAGATGCGATGATGACGAAGCCGCCCAGACAAAGCCGAGTGTCGCATCGCAAACCCGAGAGCCTCCGCCTCGTATCGCATAATGTCCAAGCCGAACCTCGAGTGACGCGAACTGTGTATCGTGGCCCAGCCGTCGAAAGCCGTGATCGAGTCGGGAACTTCGTCGAAGCCGTCGAGGGAGGCAGCGTCAGCTGGTTGATGTAACGATGATGGCGTAGACGGAGGGCCCTCAGGGGTCTTAGGAGGCCTCGGACTGCGGTGGCGTTCTTCGAGGCAATTTTTGCCCACGGTAGCTTCAAGCACAGTGCGAGGCTCGATCCCGAGAGCGTGGGCGCGGGCGTGCACGGCGTCGGAGAACCGATAGCGCCATCTCTAGGACAGGCGCCCAGCGGCCGCGACGACCTCCTGGTCGGCGGTCTTGCGGCAGACCCCGATGCCGTAGGGGGAGGCGTAGCTGCAGAAAGTAGTCGCCGACCACTCTGCTCTGACGTCGGCCCACCACAGCGGTATGAGGGCGGCTGCCGCGCGCAGCTCGGCGATGACCGACGGCCGTAGGGGCGCGGCCACTCGGGCGTCCAGGCTCATGAAGCGGTAGACTGCGTTGAAGATCGACAGCATGGGCCTATTGGTGATCATGCCCCACGTACAGTGACCCACAACTGCTGACAAGGCCAAGGGCGATGCGAAGCCACGTCTAAGTAGACCAAGCAGGGCTTGACGCAACCGGCAGAGCCTGTCGATCTCACAGCGGACGATGCCGACGTCGCCGAGAATGTCCAAGCCAGTGAAGACCACGCGCTTGGCGGCGGGGGCGAACTCGTCGACGGGCAGACCCCTCGACGCGAGCACGTCGCGCATGGCCTGGCAGGGTCGAGGGACACGGTGGCAAAGTTGTCGACGTAGCCCGCGCCAACGACGTCGGAGTCTTTCCGCAACGGGGGGATGGCAGCGCCGCCCACCAGCAAGGAAACCTCGTCGATACCCGAGTCGAGGATGGCCGTGGTCAGGGCGGACTGCCAGAAGTGGAGAGCCCACGACCAGCCCATCGGCATGACGGAGACGAAGGGCTGCAGGAAGGCGTTCGTCCCGACATTCATGCCATTGAGCCGCTTGAAGCCCAGGTGCCGATTCGGGACGACGGGCAAAGAAACATATCGATGCAGATGTGGCGGTAACTTCACGCGGTAGAAAGCGCACTGAATGTCGCCCTGGGCCACGTAGAAGTCGCGGTCGGCCTCGAGCGCGCTCCGTGCCGACGGAGTCGGCAATCTCGTAGAGGGAGGGGCAGAGAAGGACATGTTGGCCACCCGCGTGTCGAAGACGAGGCGCAGGTTGACGCCGTTGGACTTATCGACGAAGAAAAAGCCAGTAGAGTAGGTAGCCGGACGGTCGGCGACCTCCCACTCAAGCATGCCAGCCTGGCCCAGGCGTAGCAGAGAATCAGCATACTCCCGACCGAGGGCGAAACCGAAGGCGTGGATCCACATAGGGCGACCCCAGACCCGAGTCCTTCCTGAGAGCAGCTGCATCAGCAGGGTCACGTAGCATTTGATGCCTCCACCCTGCCAACATAGAACGATCGGCTTCAGACACGAGGTCGGCCGTCGGGACAGGTGCCGCGTGCTTCGGCCAGGAGACGAGCTCCTTGTTGTAGGGTCTTACCCGAGACTCTCCAGAGTACCCAGGCGCCGATGCGAACAACTCTGCGAGGGCTGCCTCGCATCTTGGAGGAGATTCGGAATGTCCAGGAGGTAGTTCAAAATCGCGATACTGTTGAGCAAGATACTCCTCAGCGTCACTACGAGCACGCGGAGGAAGACCAGGAGGCGGGCTGATCACATCGTTCGGGTCGCAGTGGTACATGTCGTCGAGCGTGGGCACCGCGTCGTTGCACCACTCCCGCCACGCAGCACCCCTGGCGGCCCGTCTGCGCGCCGACCCGCCCATGGATGAAGTCCCTGATCTTCGCTCCACGGGAATAGGGCGGAGGGGGAAAACGTCTCGCTGTCGAAAGGGTGGCGCAGCGAGGGGGCAATGGGCCTGGCTGGCGCCACTGTGGCGCGCCCCACAGCCAGGCCTGAAGTTCTCAGGCGCCATGGCGCCCGCAAGGCCCGCTCCTCGCGGGCCTTGCGGCGCTCTTTGCTGATGGCGGCCTCCGCCCTCATCTGGTCTGCGATGTACGCCAGCAGCTTCGGCGAGATGCAAAGATTGGCCTTGGAGACACCAGCGCCGAGGAAGTGGATGGTCTCAGGTGCGCTGGAAGTCCCAGCTGAGGCGCCGCCTCTAGCCGCGGCCTTGGCCTTGGGAGCTGCGCCGCTCGGAGGTGGCGATCGCGTCTCGTACACCCGCTCCTCGAGGAGAAGAAGTTGGCGAGCGATGATCTCGAACGATGCCATCTCGGCGATCTGCAGCTGATCGCACACGACGGCGAGGTCCAGGACGCGGCAGAGCGTCTCGTGCAGCTTGGCGTGCTCGCCCTCGTCGGGCAGGGCCATCGACGTGAGCCACCTCTGGTGCCACGCGGCGGGCGTACCCGCCATCGTCGACATGAAGGACAAACACCAGAGGAGGGTCCTCGGCCCCTGCACGGGCCAACCCTGCACAGGGGTCTCAGAGAGGGCGTTGACGGTCTCTCCGAACCTCCTCTCGCGCTCGCCCCTCGGGTTGAGCAGCATCGGGAGGACCCTGAAGTCGCCAATGGGGGCAGGCGCCCCAGCGGCGGCGGCGGCGGGCGCAGCCTCCACTGCAGGAGCGGGCACCAGCGGCAGAGGCCCAGCAGGCCCAGGCGGGACGGCTCCCAGCGCGGCGGCCAGCGCAGCGACGCCAGGGGCGACGCCGAGAGGGGCCGCCGCAGCGGCCGCGGCCGCGGGGGGCATCGCCAGCGGGGCCGCGGCCCCCGCGGGCAGCGCCGCCCCTTCCCCGCCAGGAGGTGGCGGCAGGGCCGCAGGCCGCAGGGCTGCGGCAGCCGCAGGGTCCGCCAGCGGGAAGGGACCAGGCGGGACGCCTACGACGTTGCCCGCCGCGAGCGCCAGCGGCAGAGGGTCGGGGGGCCTCGGGTAGCCTGCGGCCACCGAGCGCGCAACAGCCGCCCACAGCTCCGCGGCCGTCGGAAGGCGGCGAAAGCGGTGCACCGCGACGCCCGCCAGCGCTGGCGGCGTGTCGCCTTGGCCCGCGAGCTGCAGGACCGCTCGCACGTCGGGGCCGGCGACGATGGGCTCGTCGTAGTCGTCGAAGTCGGGCGTGAGGATGTAGCCGAGGCCCCCGTTGACGCCAAGCAACAGGCGCTCGTGCCACAGGGGTACGCCGCCGACGCGGTAGCGCAGCACGTGGAAGTTGCCCGCCATCACTGCAGCGCAGGGGCGCGGGCTCTGGCGTCACGAACCTGCTGAGCCGCGAGGGCGGCGATGTCAATGCCGTCCACGAACTCCACCACGGCGGGCGGCCGGCGGGGCGTCGGTCCGAGAAGCCGCCGCGCCGCCCAGGCGCCCCCCACGGCCCCGAAAGCGAGGCCGATGGTCAGCGCGGCCACCGAGTAGGCCGTGACGAGGCCCAGACACGAGGGCTCGACCACGTGCCCGCCCGCGCCAGCGCAGACGCAGGCGGGGCAGGAGAGGGTCGGAGGCGCGGGGCAGGCCAGGTGCGGCGAGCAGGCTCCGCAGCTCGGCGCGGCGGCCCGCGCCACGACAGTGGCCCCCAGCGCCTGCGCCCCGTACCTCAGGACGTCCGCCGCATGGTGGGCGATGTCTTGCATCACTGGGCAAGACACCTGAGAGACTTGAGAATGGAAGCGCGGCCCGAAAGAGAGCCACAAATAGCCGCGGGCAGCATAATGATGATGGTAAGAGAAGTGGGTGTGAAGAGGACAGGGTGGGTGTGAGGACTGCGCGGAGTGTCCTGAGAAAGCACGAGCCCACTTAGGATGTGGGGGAAAACATAGTCCCGCATCGATGCCACTGCGTGTATCCATCCTCGAACAATGGAGTAGAAGCGTCGTCGTGCCACCTCGCAAGACAGCCCGTGCCGAACCCCCACGCACACCTGACCCACCGCAGAAGGAGGCCCCTCGCACTCGATTCACGCCTCCACGCTTCTCGAACAACTCGAACAGTCAACGTTTGGCCAGGAACCTTGGATAGGGTTATGTTGCTCCCATCGCACTTAAGGACCACATCCCAGAAATAGTTTCGAGCACACGGAAAAGTGTCGAAAGAGTGTCGAAACAATGTCGGGCGAGTGTCTCCCAGGGCCCGACACGTGAAAACCCGCGAGTTTGGGGGGACTTTTCTGGTGCTCGAAAAATTCTTTCTGGTGATCAGTGATGAAGTAGGTTGGAACATCAGAAGGATCAGGTAAGGAAGCCCCTCTCGGGCCCCGGTTCTGCCCGGGCGCACGAGGCACGCCAATCAAGGGCCCAGGTAAGGAACTGCGGACCATCGAGCCCCTGTCGAGGCGAGGCCTCTTCCTCCTCCTCCTCCTCCTCCTCCTCCTCCTCCTCCTCCTCCTCCCCCTCCTCCTCCTCCTCCTCCTCCTCCTCCTCCCCCTCCTCCTCAACTGTGAGGAGGAACTGTCGAGGCCGAATCCCAACTGTGAGAAGGAACTGTCGAGGCCGAATCCCAAGTGTGTGACCGTGACGTGCGCCCGCTCGAACCAGAAACACCCGTGAACATGCGAACGCGCGATCAAACAACAAAAACAAAAACGGCGGCAGGCGGAGGCAGAGAGGGGAGGGATGGAGGCGGCCTCGTAGCACTTGACGTAGGCTTCCTTCGGGATCGCCTTGTTCACCTGCGCGAGATCCCCCACCTCCGCCTCGCCCCTCCTCCCGTGCGCGCAGCTCCCCCGTCCTCCCCTCCCCTCCCCTCCCCCTCGCCCCCCACACTCCTTCCTCCTCCCTCGACCCTCGTCTGGAGCCGTTACTGCCCCCCCCCCTCGGAGGAGAAGACGGGGGGGTGCGCAAGATCGCCCTCCCCCGTCTCCCGTGCGCGCAGCTCCCCCCTATTCCGACCGCGCGCAGCCGGCTGGGATCTGCTTGGGAGCTCCGGGCCCGCGACGACACAAAGCCCCGCGGACGGAGAGAACAACTCAGCGCCCTTGGGCAGGCACGGGCGGGAGCCAGCGGGCTGTCCCGCCCCCCCCCCCTCCTGGGTGCCGCACCAGCTGCGCATGGCCGCGCAGAGGCTCCCCCCACCGATCGCAGACCGACCAGCCCCGCTCTGCAAGGTCGAGCCGACCGAAGGGACCTCCACATCCTCCTCCTCCTCGTCCTCCTCCTCGCCCTCGTCCTCCTCCTTCTCCTCTCCTCTCCTCTCCTCCTCCTCCTCCTCCTCATATTACTCTTCGACTTAAAAGTATCATTAATAATACGATTACTACTTTTACTAATTACTTTTACTACTTTTACTTTTACTTTTACTTTTACTACTACTACTACTACTACTACTACTACTACTACTACTACTACTACTACTACTACTACTACTACTACTACTACTACTACGACTACTACGACTACTACGACTACTACGACTATCACGACTACTACGACTACTACTACTACTACTACTACTGACATAATTCTGTTGTAACTATTGCTACTGATTGCTGTGATATTATTATTCATATTCTTATTATTATTATTATTATCATCCTCCTCCTCCTCCTCCTCTCCTCCCCTCCTCCTGTCCAGATTCGTCACTCACCCATACCCCTGCTCTGCCACCTAGCCTGCCGATGGCCGGCCACCGCGGTGGGGTCCACCCGACCTGTCCACAGAAAGCGCAGAGTCGGCACATTCGCTCTCTCCACGGACATCATATCCTCCAGGGCTGGACCCAAACGTTGCTTTCCGTGTTGCCTTCGTTTTCTTTGTCGTTTTTTGCGCTGCCTGTTTTCCTGCACCTTCCCTGCCAACACGAAAAGCAGAGCACAGCCGAAGCCCAGCAAAACAGCGTTCAGGCCCAGCCCTGACATCCAAGTGGCGGAAACAATTAAGCAACACTCATGCAGAACATCTGGTTTGAACCTCCCCCCCCTCCCCGCAAACGCAATGTTGGTTTCGGATCTTCCGGTTTGGGGCGCCTCCGAGCGGTCTTGCGAAAACCTGACAACTTCGAATTGCGGGGGAGGGGGGGGGGGAGTGTTGCTTAGTTGTTTCCCTCAACCGAAGCCCAGCAGAACAGCTCAACCGAAGCCCAGCAGAACATACTTATACTATATGTGCGTCGCCCCTGGGGGGGGCGACGCACATATAGTATAAGTATGTTGGGGTGGTGCCGATTCAGGCCCAGCCCTGACGTCGTCCGTGCGGCAAAGCGGCGCAGCTCCCGCCCGCGAGCGGCGCGCTCCCGCCCCGGGGAGCGGCGCGCACCGCTCCCTCGCCAGGGCTCCCAGCTTCACGCTCTCGCGCTGCGCGCTCCGCCGGAGCGCGAACCACCTCGCGCTCTCGCGCCGCCCCCCCAAAGGGAGAAAAAGGAGGACGAGGAGGCGCTCCGCGAAGCGCGAATCACCTCGCGCTCTCGCGCCGCCCCCCCCCCCCAAAGGGAGAAAAAGGAGGGCGAGGAGGAGATGGGGGAGAAGGAGCGAGGACCGCGGAGCGCGAATAACCTCGCGCTCTCCCGCGCGCCACCCCCCCCCCCCCCCCCAAAAGGGAGAAAAGGAGGACGAGGAGGAGGGGGAGAAGGAGCCCAGGGCCGCGAGGGCGCGAATGACTCCGCGCCAGCTCGCGGGAGCCCTCTTGCCTCGCCGGCTTTCCTGGGCCCCCCCCGTGCGAACGGGCGACGCGTCGTCCTCGCCCTCTCCACCTCTCCCCCCCCACCCCCGGCGCGCCGCCGACGGAGAAGAACCCAAGGACGCTGCCGTCCCAGGCTCCCCCCCCCCGCACGGGACCTGTGGATGCCATGACAATGGACACCCCAACAGTCCCATCGTGGTTGTATAGCTAAGTTGCCTAAATTGGGGGGTCGGGACGTATGATAGTGAGGGAAAGTGTAGTTCGGAGGTAGTCCCACGTATGCGTCTTACCAAGGGAATCATATATCAGGCCGTTTGCCAATGTCATTTCGAGCAGCGTTCTATATCATGTAGATTTCAAACAAACGTATGTTTTCAGGAGGACGAGGAGGGGGGGAGGAGGAGGAGGAGGAGGAGGAGGAGGCGGAGGAGGACGAGGAAGAGGAGGAGGAGGAGAGTGATGTGTGCATCCGTCTGAAAGCGGACGTGAGTTCAGAGTAATGGGCGGTGATATTAGACAGGGCCCCCCCGAAGGGATCTCATAGCCTTCGAGGCCTCCTCCTGTTGGGTCCACGGCCTCCAGCGCAAACTGGCAAACGGTGCATTTCAGGGTTCTGATTTCCGTAGTCAATTTTGTTTCGAGGTCGGCTTTGGAGGCAGTTTTTTAGTGAACGCGTTCTTTACACTTCCATCTGTTCACGGTGGCATTTGATGTTCGCGGACGTCTTCGCTCATGGCGAGGAAGAGGAGGCGCCAGGCCCACCTCCAGCTCCAGAGGCTGCCGATGACCGTCGTCCTGCTGCGCCTGTCCGCGGTCATAAGGACTTCAAACTTTTAGGTATGTTGGGTAAGGCGAAGCAGACGCTTTCCAGAGCACAGGAGGCCCTGGTGAAATCCTCATCGGCATTGCGGCCGTCCGTGGTACAGGCATGTCTAGAGGCGGTGTTCATGCATACGGATGTTCGGGCAACAAAATCCAACAATATTATGACGGGCTCAGGGGTGGTCGTTCTTCCAGGAGAATCATCTAAACAGGACTTCGGGGACCATGTTGACAGGGCTGTGTTTTCGCATTTGCACGCTCAAGCTGATGGATTGAGTAAGTTCATTTCGTTGAAATGCGACGACGGCACTGGCGTCATCGCTGACGCGTTGATCAGCATCAACATATTTGATGATGCATCCATGACGGTGGCGAAACCTTCCAGGAACATTCAGTGCGTCGGACCGTTAGCAGAGCACTTGCAGAGCGCGTTCCAGATGAGAAAGCGGAGGAAGGGGAATAATATGTCCATGCAAGTTCTCAACAAGGTTGCATCATGAAAATTGCACCTCTTCTCATCCTCACCCCCTCTATGCAGCGGGCCCCTTTCCTAAACGGCCAGCAGGGGTGGGCATTTGGGCTGTTTGGGGAAAGCTCTTCCCACTTCCTCGACTTCGTCGAGGTTGTCTTTCGCCCGAGGCCCGAAAACACTTCGGGCCCCGTGCACGAGAGATTTCGGTTCGAAGTGCTAGATGTGTGTTTGGCGCCCCCCCCCTCCCTAAGTGCTTTGCTTCGTCACTTGTCCATCTCTCATGCCTCGCTCACCGCCGCCTCTCCCTGGAGGTTGAGACGATCTACACCGTGGATCCAGGGAGGACCTCGGCCAGCTCGCCCAGTGGCAGGCCGCCCCGCGTCAGGGGAGCGCCAGTCATTGCTCCCGCGCAGGTGCTACCTCAGGCGAACACTGCCACAGTGCGACAGCGGTTATTAGATTGGTCGGTTTTCTCTACGAGTGGCCCTGGCCGAAAAGTCGACATCGATTCGAAACTGTCATCGGCATTGTCTTCGCCTTCCTGGCAAATAATTGTGCACGTGACGGACAATTTGAGTCTGAACCATTGTATTTTCGGCTTGGAAAGTCGTGTGCTAGTTCGCGATAGCGGTGTCAATTTGCTGGGCATTGATTGTTGCGGCCACTCCGTTGTTCTCGGGTTGAAGCCAACTTACAGGAGGTTGAACAATTTGCCTGGCACGCTCGTTCGACTCGGTCATATACTTGAGAATGGAAGGTGCGAGGAGTCTCTGGGTAGAGCGATCGAGGTCGAGGTTCAGGAAAGCTTCCAATATCGTGAGGTCGATGTCATGCCTGCAGGATGGGACGACTGGCGAGCTGAGGCGATGCGCGTGATGAAGGCATCGAGGCCTGCTCTGGACATTGATGTCAAGGAAGAGGCGATGATATTGGCTGGTGACAACGGCGACTGGGGCAGAGATGAGATATTTCACTGGTGCTTGAAGGAGCAATGTCCATTGCAGTGCGGTGGCGACGCAGAGAAAAGCATGAAGATGGTTACCCAATGCATTCTTACGTCTATTGGGAGGGGCTACACAACGCCGTTAGAATACCGTTGGAAAGGTATGGAGCACGCGTCTTCGAAAGCATTCCGAGGTCGCCGACAACACCGGTTGCTAGATCGTGCTTTGGACCGCATGTACCCGAAATCCGTTGTGAAGAAAGCTCAGGAAAACTTGTTGCGCGCCGGGGAGAGGGAGGCCGATTTCGCAGTCAAGAGGCAAGTGAGAGCAGGCAAGGTCATTGACGCTTTCAAGAAAGACCCCCAAGTCATGGACCTTGAGGCGGCTCAGGTTGTGAACGTGCCTGGGCAGACTTACTTGAATGCTGTGTTTAAGGCCGAGTCGGTGGCCACCTCAGCCATCGACGAGAGCATGCGCACGACTCTTTCCATGGAGCCTGCCGACGCTTGGACCGACAGTCAGTGCAAGGCCATTCTGATGAACTCCAACTTCTTGTCGGGAAAGCTTGGCAGGGACGCAGTCAACAGGTACGCTGAGATGGCCAGGGATTTCAACTGTGAGCACTGGGAGTCGGCAAGGCTGCCATTAGAGCGCAAGGCAGAATTGTGCGCTGGGCTTCTCGACAGCATGGCTGATTGTTATTTTCGTGTAGTCTTCAAGTTTGCGCAGCCGAAGTTCGAGGTTTTCAAGGCGTGCAAACACGGCGTCTTCGACTTGCGTGTGATTCGAAACGTTTGCCAACCTTTGAAGGACAAGCTTTCGGAGTGCGATTGTTGCGTTGATGCGCATTTCACTGAGGTGTGGGTTCGAAGGTTCTTAGATACAGAGGCAGTGGCGCTGCGAGCTTGGAGGTCGTTGTGCGGTCTTCTCTGCGTTTTGAAGGTCAGCTCTATCAAGTGCGAGCAGCAACATTTACTTGGTCAGGAAGTGCGGGCTCAGAAACGACGAGGGCGGGCACCGACTGCAGCTACCCTCAGCAAGTTGACTTACGCGAAGGCTGCTCGCAAGGAGGCTCAAGTATTTATCAAGAAGGTGACCCATTCGCATTTGTCAACCGCTGCGCTTCGCAGGCAGTTCATGCAGACATTATCCAAGTTCAAAGCGACTCGCGTGCACAAGGGCGCGCGGAAGCAGCGGGCAGGCATTGTGATCAAGAGTTTGCCAAAGCCAAAACAGAGATTGAGAACGCATTCTGGCGTTGACGTTTACATCAAGATGCACTTCCACGAGCAGCCTGCTCACCTGTCTGTTCCAAGACGGACTGCCCTTGCACGCTCGGCGTGGTCTACGCTATCTGACGCACAGAAGTCTTTCTACAACGGGCTGGCCGATAGTGAGACACAGGAGGTGCAACTACGTGAGGGTGAAGCGTTCTCTGAGAGTGTCGGGAGGATTGGCAGACGTCGTCTGAAAGGCCACCAAGGTACTGAGCGGGGCCGTGCCATGGCGAACACTATCGAAGCGATGCAAATGGATGGCATTTGGGATGCAGGTGCTCAGCTTCATTGCCTCGAATCTGCTTTGAAACCAAGCTTGGTGTCTACGAAGCCCCAGGCCTTCATCAGGCAAGAGTGCAAGCAAGTGTTTGAGCCAGACTTGCGAGCTATCCAGAATCCCGCTGGCAAGATGGAGCTGGACCCAGTGTGCCACATGAAGTGCGCTGGGCTTTGCATGACCGAACCGTACTTCCATAGAGTAGATGCAATATCAAAGAATTTATTTGCTGTTGTGAAGCGGAGGAAGTTGACTCTTCCTGTGTTGTTGAAGGTGTCTGTGGAGCTCGGTACTGCAAGCGACGTGGTGGAGTTTCATTTCTTGTCAAGATTTTTTGGGAAGGGTGATCTCACTTGGCTTGTGCGCGCTGAAGTGGCGAGCCCGACTACATTCAGTTTGTCAGCAGGCGATGGCGCTGATATCGTGACGACGTCAAACGTGGTATTTCGACGAGTTGCTAAACGAGGCTTCCTCGCCGCTGATGATGCCGACGCCGCTGGCGTAGGCAGGGCGCTCGACAATTTGCAGGTCAAGGTTTTCTCCGTGGCCCCAGTCTCGGACGCGTGCAAGTACGAGGTCAAGATCGTGAACCACGAGCTGGATGTGCGCGCCGAGGCCGAGGCCCCCGTCGGCGCCGTCGGCGTGCTGCCATTCGGCCTCGGCCACTGCAAAGGCCATGGGATTCTCGGGCGGGCGGGCAGGCAGGGGGTTTGGAATTCGTCGTCTCAGGTTTGCCTGCTATCTGAACAACTTGAGCTGGTCAACGGCCGAGGGGAGGGACCATGAGGGATCGTGGCTGGTGGGGGAGCGGAGGAGCAAGTGTGGAATATGTATGACATATACAACTTCAGTTCACATTCCCCCCCCGTCGTATTCGGAGAGATCCCGTTCTCGATCCGAAACCCATCGTGAAAATCAGCCGGCCTAGAAACGGCCAGAAAATCATCCAGCCTAGAAGCGACCGAGGCTGACGACCGACGGCAGGGGGAGAGGGGTGAGAAGGGCGAGGGAGAGCAGATAGCAGGGATGGCAGGGGGTGAGGCGAAGAGGGGTCACGAGGGGGAGAGGAGGAGTCGACGGGGTGAGGAGGGGGAGGAGGTGGAGGTGGAAGAGGAGGAGGATGGGGATGGGCTTGAGGGGGGAGGAGGGGAGAGGAGGCCACCGCACCCTGCGCCACGCAAGGCCTCGATCCCGCTGGTGCACCAGCGGACGGCGACCCTCCAGATCTTGCAGGAGCGTCCGCTTCCGACCATGAGGACAGAGTGGGCGAGGAGTTTGACGACCTGGGAGGATACAGAGATTCTTCTTCGGACTCCTCGGGCCCAGAGCTTCCCAAGCCACCACACAAAAAGCCGAAGGGGAAACCGAAGGCCGTGAAACCTCCTGAGCCATCTGTGCCTAAGCCGCCTGAGCCACCTCCTCCTGAGCCCCCTCCTCCACTGCCACCAGTCCCAGCGAAGCCAGGTGTTTTATCTCCAGGTCTGAAGCATGTCGATGTGGCACCGAGCGGTCGCGCCGCGTGCCCAGTCTGCAATTTGAAGATTCTTGTTGGCACAGTAAGGTGCACGTACAGGGTGAGGGCGAGCAACTCTTTAAGAGATGCGCGCTATTACCATCCCGCTTGCGTTGTCTCAGTGTTTGCAGTGGATCGGAAAGCCGTTGACATGGCGACCATAGCGGGTCTGATTAACAGACCTGACGTTCCAGAACCGATCTTGTTGGCACTGCTAGATCTTCGGAACCAACTTGCAGAGCTTGGTGGTTCAGGGGCGGCGGGTTCTGCTGGATAGCGCATGGAAGACCAGTTGGCTCTTCGCTGTTTTTGTTGCCTTCGCAGCTTGGCCCCGCATGCGAGGATAAGCAACTCGTCGCCGTCGCAGGGCGTGCCACTGAGAGCAAGACCCTTCCCGCTCGTGCAATCGAATGCCACACTGAAAAGCAGCACCCTACCGAGAGCAGCAATCCATGCCTGAACAACTCCCTGAACAAGTCTGAACAACCCTGAACAACTGCCTGAACAACGTCTGAACAGCACGATTTTCGATAGGGGTCGCTTGAAACGCATGTCGGAACAACCCCTGAACAACCCCCTGAACAACCCTGAACATCCCTGAACAACCCTGAACAATCCCTATGGACCCTGAACAACCCCAACCCTGACACGGAAATGCATCGCCCAAGGGTGCCCTTCATGGATGTCGGTTCAAAGCCCCCCTCCGCAATTCCCGCTCCATGCCGTGACATATCGGGGGGCGTGCCAACAATGCTGCGTGAGATCGAGATCGATATCACTGTATATATCGTTTGAACGACCCACGCGCACAGCGGGGACCTAGTCGACATGGCATGCAGGATATGTTGTTTTCGCCCCGCGGGTTAGTAGTAAAGGGGGCTGTATCGACCCCCTCCCCCCTGACAGCCTCACGGCGGGGACCAAATCGAACCCCTTCGGTCGCAGCGTGCCGCTGGCACTCCCTACGGCGGGGCGGGGGGGAAATAGTTTATCTAAAGCGTGTTTACGTTTCCCCCCCGCGTCTGGTCATGGGAAGCCGCGTGCATCCGCGATTGCATTGAGTTGTGTCGCGCGTCGGTTTCGAACGTGGCTGATGCTTCGAAGCGGCGTCAATCCTGGAACCCTGCCCCCACCTTCTCCCTCCTCGCACCTTCCTTCCTCCTCCAATGGGCCTTCCAAGGCCTTGAAACAGTTGGCGTCCGCTTAGTCATGAAAGAAACTGTTTTGTTATCCTCGGGGTTCGCCTCCTCCCCTCCTCCTCTTTATCCCCCAAGCCACGGTCGAAGCAATCGGCGCGTTCGGCTCGTCGCTACGACCGTCACCATAGCACGCAATGCCATTTGGGCTCAAAGAGTTGTTCCGAGTGGCGCAATTTGGCACTGCTACCACTTGTGCCATCTGAAGCGCCTCTGAGCTTCGGGCCGAGTTTCGATTCGATGGCGCCCTCGGTGTCTAGGCTGGCGACTCCTGCTTCCAAGCGGAAGCGCGATGCTGACTCCGTGGTATCCGATGTGAAATCCAAGTGCGCGAAGCAACAGGCCGCTGCTTCTAAGCTGAGCGGCGGCGCTTCGGAGGCGAAAGCCAGGAAGGCCGCCGCGCAGGACGCCGTGCCACAGTGCGTCCACGGCGGCCCCGACCTCACCAAGGTCCCCGCCTGGTTTTGCGTGAGTTGCGAGCAGAATACTCACCAGTTCGACCGCGACGCCCCTGAGAGACGATTGCGGTGGGCAAAGCTCCGCTGGACTCCCGATGGGCTCGCCTACCCCCAGGGCCAGGAGTGTTACAATTGCTTCCAGACCCGCCGAAAGTTCTACGGCTGTGGCATGGCCAAGTTGACCGCCAGCAGGAAGGCGTGCACCAAGTTAGACGAGCAGTACTACAACCACAGGAAGGGCGTGGCCTGCGGCGACGCTGCTTACAAGAAAGGCGAAAAGATCGACGTCGATGAGTACGTCAAGGAAGTGCAGCAGGCCTTCACTGAAGAATTCGAGGAGGGAACGTGGATCGAGCTGCACAGCTTCGCCGCCGACAGGCACATTTCTTTCCCTGACGATGTTGACGATGCGAAGCTCATCGGCTACATCGGGACGCATCTGAAGAAGACCGTGCGCCCTGACGAGCGCGGCGTCATGGGCGCTGAAGTCCTGGACCACGACAGTGACCGCAAGCGCTTCCGTCGCGGCGTGAACCGCATGATGGAACGCGGAGCCTATGAACGCCAGCGTGGGGAGGATGTTAGCTCGTTGACTGGCGAGCGCTGCGGCATGCTGCGGGATGAGGCGGCCATTAAAGCTGCGCAGGCTGGATCTGGCAACCCTGCCCGAATGGTCCAATGCAAGCAGACGCCCGTGCAAGGGCCCGCGCTCCAGCAGCGCCGCGACCCTGTGGAGCGTTCAGAGGCTGCTGCTTCATCTGCTGGGGGTGCAGAAAGTTCCAGCGCCAGCGTCTTGTCGGCGCCGCCCCCAGCTAATCGTCGAGTTCGTTCGAAGTCAGCTGCTCCATCAGTGGTGAGGGAAGCGGTTGTGGCTCGCCGCGTCAGCGTCGAGGAGGAGAACGAGGACGGCGATGATGACGGCCAGCAGTCTGTCGTCAGCAAGGGGGCATCGAGGGAGGAGAAGGCCATCGCCAGCGCCAGATTGGCTTTGTCGAAGAGCGACTCTAAGACGTGGGAGCATCAGTGGAAGGACAAAGCCATGAATCGCAAGAGGGACCTTCAGGGCATCGTTGGAAAGCTCCATCGGGCTGGTCGGTCAGTTGGGAGATTCATCCAGAACGCCGATGCCTTGGATTTGTCGGCAGCTCTTTTCGCAAAGGCTGACCTGTTCGAGAATCGTGCCGCTGTTTTCAACAAGCTGCGTAACTCCTTCGACGACTTCGTTGCGGAGCCTCTTTCGGACGTGGACAAGGTCATCATGAGTAGTGCCCCCAGCGGCCTCCTCAGCACGATCCTGACGGCAAACCTGAACACCATGATCAGCAAGCTCGGCTCGTCGGGGACGAACCTACCTGAGAACTACATCGGTACCATTGTGGAGGCCATGAAGATTTCCGAGAATAAGGACTTCTTGACGCTCGGCTACTTGGACGATTCCGAGGCGGTCGTCTGCCAGAGAGGTTCGAGGATACGCAATCTAGTTTTTCGGGGGGTCGCGTTTGCAGGGCCCCTGGCTGTCAATCCGATGCTTCCCCCAAACACTTCTCGACGTGCCCCGCTCCCATGCCCACCAACCATCCCCAACCCATCCCCTGGCTTCTTGGGGCCCCGATTGGCACTGGTGAGGGTGCGTGAGTCAGGGGCCGTTGCAAACGCGATCCAGGTCAAAACTTTATTGTGTATCCTGAAGGCTTGGTGCTTGCAGTGGGGGATCGCGTGTGGAGTGCGCAGTCCAGCGAAAAGATCATCCAGCTGTTTTCAGTGGTCGAGCCTTTGCTGACAGCCTGGGAGTCGATCCACTCTATTGCCGTCGAGGATGAGATAAAGAACGATTGGTACGAGCAGGCCGCCGTCGACATGCATTGCATGCTGGTCTGCGCTTCTGCGCTTCGGACCGTCGGGGACAACAACGCTGTCTACAAAGATCTGCGCAAGAAGTGTCACGCTTTAGTCTCTTCGGTGGACCGCATCAGCGCCAGGCTCAAGAGCCACTTCAGGCACATATGTGGCGACTCCTCCTCGCACGGCAAAGCAGCTTGGAACCGCGTTCAAGATCTCCACAAGCAGTGCGAGGAGCTGTCGGAGGAAGCGTTCGAACAGCACGTCGCGACCGTGGAGAAGTTCTGCGAAGCCGTGCAGTTTGGCCCCGCCTTCGAAGACTTCTTCAACAGCTTCGGCGACGCAGCTGACGGGGCCGACTTCCTGAAAGCGATCTCGAAACTCTCTATGGATGGGTACGGCATCGCCACGGATTCGCCGAGGCCGACGGCTGTGGAGGGTCGGGCCGACGTGGCACTGTTACGCGCCAAGAGGATTATGATCGATCTCCTCGCAGAAATCATCCTCCAACCGGTCGATTTCACTGCCTTCACCGACGCGGTGTTCAGAGGGGCTGGCTACATAGACGACGCTACCAAGCCTGACGATGAACCCGAGGACGTCTCCATCATGTACATGGCGAAGAAAGTTGCTGAGTTCTTGACGATCTTCGACTGGATGGATCCGTCTGAGAAGGCCGTCTACAACGAGATCAAGTTGAGGGCGCAGTTGTTTTGGGGGGCGCGTTTGGCCAAGGTCAAGCAGCACCATGACGGCATCACCGTTGACGTCGTTGAGCGGTGGGTGACCCTCTTCAACACGCAGAAGAAGATCGAGGAATCGAACTCGAAGTTGGAGGACGAACAGTTCAAGACTATCTACTCGGCGGTCACGAAGATGAGGGCCAATAGTACCATAGTGTTTGATGACATCGTGAATGGCATCATGATCGACATGATTTCGAAGAAGGTCGACACGTCCAGCGCGGCGTTCCAGAAGGCGCAGCGCATGCAGGAGATGATGCCCCAGAAGGCAAGGCACGCCGTCGAAGCGATCCACCTCATCGAGAGAGTCTGCAGCGTGTGCAAGCTCATTGGCGAGGGCAAGCCAGGTGGAGCTCTCTTGTCTCTCGTGGCGCTCAAGGCCGAGGTCCACGCCTTTTCCATCAAGGCTCCAGGTGTGTTCGCTGCGCGGGAGGATTTCACCTCCTTGGTGGACAACTTGACGGCCGAGATCAATGAGGGTTTGAAGTTGCTTCTCGCGAAACTCAACGTGGAGGGGAACTTGGACAAGCTCGCGGAGGTCTTCAAAGGATTGGAGGCCGCAATATCTACTTGGGACGTCACGGGCTTCCAGTGGATGACAGATGACGACACGACGGCGAAGCATCAGCAGCTGATCAAGACCGTCGAGACCATCGTCACGCAGTTCCCAACTTGGAAGTCGACTGTCGAGACCGTCAACAAGGCAGGAGATGACGTTCACGGCGCAGCTGCTCTTGGAAGCTTGACGATGGAAAGCCTTCGCGCCAAAGAAGAACGGGTGAAGGCCTCTGCGAAGCTGCTGGCGATGGCGGTGATGACTACGGCCATCTTCAAAGGAGAGTCCAAGGGCATCGACGCGGCGGTGGCCTACAGCAAGGCGAAGCTCGGCGTGGAGGTGACCGACGTGCCCGCTGCGCTGCAGGAGAACTTGCGCACCCCTCGGAAGCAGGGCGAGCAGCCCAGCGCGCCATTCGAGGATCAGAAAAAAAAACAGAGGAGGGCACTCTCGGCTTGAAGAAGCTCAAGAAGCTTCCAGGCGCCAAGGCCAAGGCGGCCCCCGCCTGAGTTGGGAACAGGACTCAGGACGCGAGTCCTAGTGGGGTTTCCTGTGCGCGGCCTGTCTGGGAAGGCCGCTGGCATCAGCTGAGAGCAGCGGCAAGGTCATAGTTGCTCGCGCTGTGGGGCGCGAGACTTCGTCTATGCCGAGGGTGTTGCACGCTCTCCGACGGTTCCGAGGCGCACTTGTTTTGTAAAAGTGTTCTTGCTGCGAGGTCGTGCACGCAGATTCATGTAAACCAAAACTCCAGGACTGTAAAACGCAAATGCCAAAATGAAAGCCAAAACAGCACCCCAAAACATCGTTCCTCCTCCGTCCTCTGTCCATCCGTCTGCCCCTCCCCTCGCCCGCTGCATTCCTTCCTTCTCCCTCTTGCGCGCGACTCCCAGGTCCAAGGATTCCCCGCCTCCAGGTCCCCTCAGGTCGCCTTCGCGCATTTCGGACACCTGACTTCTAACGCGGAGGATGCTGCGCGGCGCTCTCTGGGGAAGGGATACGCAGGGGGGGAGCGGAAAGGACGCGGGCGGGGAAAGGTCAAAGAGTGCAAGGAGGAACGGGGGACGGGATGAGGAGAGGGAGGAGGAGGAGGAGGAGGAGGAGGAGGAGGAGGAGGAGGAGGAAGAGAAGAGAAAAATAATGATAAAGAGAACAAGGAGTAGAAGAAGGGGGAGAAGGAGGGGGAGCAGGGGGAGGAGGACGGCACCTACTCAATATTCTCCATATCGCCCTCGTCCCTCCTACTTCTCCTCCGAGGGGGATCTGGCATGCAGCGTCTGCAAAACGTTTTTTTATGTAATTCGGATTTGCTCTGGGCCCACGCGCCCTTACAGGAATGCGTGCGAAGCGAACGCCTGGAACCGTATTTCCCCCCCTTCCATTCAGGGGTTCTGGCAGAGTTAGCCGAGCTAGCCCAACAACATCGTGGAATGACTGCTGTGTCTCAGATCTCAGGAGGACGTTTCCTCTTGTTTTGCCCATGTTTGAACCATGTTCTTGAGCGCTGGGGGAATACCCGGCAGCATGCTTCCTCTCCAGTGGCCCTCGTCCGCAGCACGAGGCCACGCCAGAGCCCCCTGTCCACGGCGGGAGGTGCCCCCCGAAAACGACGAGCGCGCCCCGCGGCCCCGCGACTCGGGCGAGAGCCCCCGGCGCGGACGGGGCGCTGACGCCCGCGCTTCCATCTGGAGTCACATCGGGCATGCCCGAAGGGGCCCTGGGACACACAACCAAATACACACAAACAAGATGATTCCCCATCTCTTCCCATCTTTTCTGGATTCTTGTCCTCCCCCCCACGTCCCATAGGTTCCCACATGTTCTGGGGAATCGGGGATTCATTGTGTCTGTGTGTTTCTCTCCCTCCTGAATGTCCCCCTACGGGCGGATCTTGGACGAAAAACTTGTTTGATCCGCGGGCCGAGAGCGCACCTCTTCCGGTCGAAGCTAAGCGGGCCGCGCACAGCCTTGATTCACAAAAGGGGGGGGGCAGCTGGACGAACCTGGACGAAAAACAGAGCATTGCCAAAACAGATCCAACAAATATCCCAACATGGCCCGAGCATCGCTTCCGGATCATCTCTGGGCTGTGTGTTGAAGACTCCCCCCCGCAGAGGGGCGCGCCCGGCGCACACCCAAAGGGCAGCGACGGCGCAGGCTCGCGAAGTCCCGGGAGGCGCCGCGTCCGGCGTCCGGGGAGGGCCCCGCGCCGGCGGGAGCAGGGCGCGCGCTCGGGGCGGGCACGTCCCGAGGGGGGCCCCGGGGCACGCAAACGGATGGCCACACCCGACAGGAGCCCCCATGGTTTCCCACATCTTCTGGGCTCTTTTCTCTCTTGTCCCCCTCTTCCCACAGTGTCCCCTCGTTCCCTGGGAGCCGACGATTGGTCGTGTCTGTGTGTCTCCTTCCCCCCCTGCATGTCCCCCCTGCGGGCGGAGCTGCGGGCGAACAGTCAGAGCATGGCCAACAGCTCTGCAGATATGGCCAAACATCATCGACGCGTCGTCCCCCCACTATGCTCAGGCTGTGTTTGAACATTCCTCCCATAGAGGGGCATAGAGGCCCGAGCTGTGGAGGTGCGTTGGCGCTCCTCCCCGCGGCAGTCTTCGCTGGCCGAGGGGCCGTGTGGAGGAGGAGGAGGAGGAGGAGGAGGAGGAGGAGGAGGAGGAGGAGGAGGAGGAGGAGGGGGAGGAGGAGAGAGGGAGGAGGAGGAGGAGAGGAGGAGGAGGAGAGGAGGAGGAGGAGGGGAGGGAGGAGGGAGGAGGAGAGGGAGGAGGGAGGAGGGAGGAGGGAGGACACGCCCGACTTCAGCCCAAGTCAGCTCCCGCTGATTCCCCACAGTCGCGAGGCCTGGCCCAAAGCCACAGAGGAGCCACGAGGCGCGAGCCCCCGATCGGCCACGAGAGGCGCCCTCCGCCCGAGCAGCCGCCGCACAGCTTTTTCGTTGGCTCCGCCAGCCGTGCCCCTCGTTGGCACGCTGCGGCGTGCTGGAGTGCCAGGTGCTGTCTGGCAGGGCTCCTGCACTTCTCTGAAGGATCCCCCCCCCCCCCTTCCTTCGAAGCACCCACCCGCGTACTCCGGGGCTCCCAACTTCGCGCTCTCGCGCTCTCGCGCTCCCGCGACAAAAGCGCGCGAGAGCGCGAAGAACTTCGCGCCCTCGCGCCGCCCCCCCCCAAAGGGAGAAACGGAGGGCGAGGATGAGGGGGAGGAGGAGCGAGGACCGCGAGGGCGCGAAGAACTTCGCGCCCTCGTGGGAGCCCTTGCGCACTGCCCCTTCGGTCCCGAGGCCACAGCCCCTCGCAGGGCAGGCAGGCCCGCGCTCGCGATGCCCCGATGCCTCCAAGACGGCCTCCGATACCGCTCCAAGACGGGCCGCTTTTTTAGGGGAACAACAAGTGGCATAAACATAAAAACGCGGAGGTCCACCAACCAATGCACACAAATCCCAGGATCCCCCAATACTTTTCCCACATGTTCTGGGCTTTCGTCTTCCCCCCCCCCACACTTCCCAGAAGTTCCCCCTGTGTTCCTTTCCTGGGAGTCGACGATGGGGAACAAGAAGTGACATAAACATAACAACTCGGAGGTCCGCGCGGATTTCTCGGATCGGCGCTGGACCCCCCCTCCCTGGCGCGCGGAGCGCGCCAGGGGCGGCGCCGGAGGCGCCGCTGGGGGGCCCCAGCGCCGATCCGAGAAATCTGCGCGGAGCTCCGAGTTTTTATGTTTATGCCACTTTTGGTTCCCTGGCCTCAAGACCGTCCAGGGTGGCTTCAAGATGGCCTACGAGGCTTCCCTTGAGAGCCCCAAGGGCTGTCCCAAGAGGACCTCGAGAGGCACACATCACTGATGCTCCTAGTATTTCTTCCATGTTTTTCGGGCCCTCGCCTTTTCGAGCTTCCGTCGTCCCAAGACGAGCCAAGAGGCCACGAGGACTGCCTCAAGCTGGCCGGGGCCGTAGAGACACCAAGAGGGCCCCAAGACGACCCAAGAGGGCCCCAAGACGGCCCCAAGAAGGACTCAAGAGGGTGAACACGAACCGACAATTGGAGCCGAGGCCCCAAGAGGGCCAAAAGAGGCTCCCAAGAGGCAAAGAACACTGATTTTCCGTAGCGATTTCAATGCCTTTGGGCGTCTCACCTTTTCGAGCGTCCGACGCTCCAAGACGGCCCAAGAGGCCCAAGAGGGCTCCCAAGCGGCCCAAGAGGCACCCACACTGCCCACGAGAGCCCCAAGACCGCCCCGAGAAGGGCCCAAGAGCGGGAACGCGAACCAAGCACTCGAGGCTCCTGCCCAGAGAGGGGCCCCTTGCCTTCTCGAGCGACTGCCGCCCAGAGTTCTGCGCGGGCGCAGGGGCGGAATGGCTGGACGACGCTTGGAATCTGAGCCAGAGGCTCGGAGAAGTCTCGAACGAAAGATCTGTGTTGAAAACTGAGCAGGGGCCGACCGTCCCGGCATTCCTATTGTCCTACCACGAAATGTTCTTAGAACCCAACAATGTTCTAAACACAAAACCAATGTTCTTAGAACGTAAACCCGATGTGATAAAACAAGACAGACTCCGCCAGAAATATTCTTAAAACATTCCGTGGGAACCACGAAAGGTTCTTAGATCAATGTTTGGTAGGGCTATAGGTGAGCCGGGACGCTTCGCCACTGCTTGAGAAAAGGAACCGCCCTCCATGAGTGCAGCGGAGGGAAGCGTTTAAGACGGACATGCGCGGCGCTGAAGCGAGGACCCCATGTTGAAAACAACTCCCTCCGTCCCTGCATCTGTTGGAGGCCTTCAAGACGAATGCGGGCGGCGCTAAGGCGAGAGCCCCCCCCCACTCCGCGCCCTCGCAGGCAAGCGGGGCGCTAACACTCCGTATGATGAGGACTATGACACAAGACGGCGGTGACGACGACGACGACGACGACGACGACGACGACGACGACGACGACCACGACGACCACGACGACCACGACCACGACCACAAGCACGACCACGACCACGACGACCACGACGCCGACGCCGACGCCGACGCCGACGCTGACGCCGACGCCGACGCCGACGCCGCCACCACCGCTGCCGCCATCGCCGCCGCCGCCGCCGCCACCGACGACGACGACGACGACGACGACGACGACGACGACGACGACGACGACGACGACGACGGCGGCGGCGGCGGCGGCGGCGGCGGCGGCGGCGACGACGGCTGCGGCTCTCTCTGTGGTGCAGGCAGCACGCGCTGCTGCCCCGCCGCCTCGCAGCCTCGCCCCCGACCCCGCGGCGCACGGCCCACCACCCGCCCGGCGAAGCTCAGCTCCGCTCGCCGCCCGACTCGCGCCGCCGGCGCCCGCGCCGCCTGGGTGCGGCCGCCGCCCGCGCCGCCGCCGGCGCCCCCGAAGCTCAGGCCCACTCGCCGCTGGACGGCCGTCGCCGCCCCGGCGTCGGCGCCGCTGCGGCGTCGGCGTCGCCGGCGGGCGCCCGCGCCGCCCTGGCGCCGGCCGCGCCAGAGGCCGCTGCCCGCGAGGCCGCGCCACGGCCCGCGCCGCCGCGGCGGGCCCCGCGGGCGCGCCGGCGCCGCGCCCGCCGCGCCGGGGGGGCGGCGGGCGGCGGCGGCGGCGGCGGCGGCGGCGGCGCGCTGCCGTCGCCGGGCTCCTCGGCGGCCGAGGCGTCGCTGGCGGGGCACGCCGCCGACGCCGCCGAGGAGATGAGCGCCCTGGCGCGGCGCAGTTCCCGCGCCTGGCGGGCCTGGCGCCGGCGCAGGTCCGCCAGGCTCCGCTCGGCGCGCAGCCGCAGGAGCTGCTCGCGCGACAGCTGCTCCTCCAGGCGCTCGCGCTCCTCTGGCACGAGCACGGACAGCGACGGCGATCTGACGACGACAGCGACGACGGGGACGCACGGTGTTCGGACGCCGTCGTGCGTTCTTCACGGTTTCCTCGCCTCGGGATGCCTTCCAGTCGCTGCGCCCCGTCGAGGGCGCCCTGGGGGTGCCAGAGGCGTCCTGAACGGCCGCAGGAGGCCCGAGTTATGAGTTGTTCGCTCCCGTTGCTTCCCCTCGACTTCGGCCCCGGGGGCCCGTGAGCGGGACCCGGGGCAAAATCACATGGGAGCGACGGTAGAACACAACGGGTCTTACGCGAGATGGCATCGCAGCCCTGCGCGGCGGCTTACGCTGCGGCCACAGCGGGGACGAGGGCGCTCGCGCGCGACCTTGCGCGGGCAGCTTGCGCGCCGATGTCGGCGCAGACCAGCCCAGTTTTTGCGCCGCCCCTCTGGATCCCAGGACGAAGAGCTGCCTTGGGGGGAAGGTGTCGGGACTCCTGTGCCGCGCACCAAACATGTCACGCCGCTGATGCCGGGGAAAATGTACAATAGGTGCCCGACCACAAGAAACCTTCCACAAGAAGCCCAACCCTGAGACCCCGGGAAGTGTCCATTGGTTTTTGGTGTGAGAACGGAACGCTTTCCATTGCAAAACCATCGAAGCCCAAAAAACCCAGGGCACCCTGGAGGCAAGCAGGGTGCTCCTTGGCATGGGCCCCCGCTGGAGGCAAGAGTGACCTCTGGTGCGCGCCTGCGGGGGGCCACGGGGGGGCCGACTCCGAGCGGGGCAGCACGCCGCTTCTCGGGCCAAGTGCTGTGCTGGGGGAACCCGCTCCGGCCCGCAGCATGTCCCCCTACAGGCGGGCGTTGGAAGAACAATGACAAATACGCAAAACATGCGCCAGAATGGTCAAGAGTAGTCGAAGAATCTTCCCCTGACTCTTTTGTTATTACCATTGTTGAGCCTTCGTCCTGTAGAGGGGCATGCCCGAGGGTGTTTCTTGGCATGGCCCCCCGCTGTAACCCAAGCTACTCGGCTTCACGCCCCGCGGCGCGCGGCTTTGCCGCCCTGGCGTCCCCCCCACCTCGGAGCAGGAGGAGGGGGAGGAGGAGGAGGAGGAGGACGTGGAGGAGGAGGAGGAGGAGGAGGAGGAGGAGCCGATGTAACCCACGCTGCTCGGCTCCAAGCCCCGCGGTGCGCGGCTTTGCCTCTGCGCCCTGGCGTCCCCCCCCCCCTCGGAGCGGGGCAGCCGCTCCGGCCCAGGCCGTCGCCGCGCGAAGAAGCGCGATGGCCTCCAGCGCCCCCGCGGGAGCCCGCACCATGGGGCAGCACGCGAACCCAAACGGCACCTCGCCATCCCTGGGGGGCTCTTCCCAGGGCTGCAGGGGGAGCCCGCACAGTGGGGTCCCACGCGGACCCAAACGGGACCTCGCCATCCCTGAGGGGCTGCGACAGAGCGAAGCCACCGCCACGCTCGAGGGCTGCAAGGGGCCTCTTGGGGCCTCTGGGGGCCCTCTTTTGGGGCCCGCTGGTGGTCTGAGTGGCTCTCTGAGGCAGTCTTGAAGCCCGCGATTTTTAACCGAATCATGCCAGTCTTCACTGCCCTTCGAGGTCCAAGTCGCGGACAAAAAGCAGTGCAGTGCAGTGCAGGGTTCTGCGGGAGTCGAGCTGTACCCTGCAGATGAGGACGCGCAAAGCGGACAGAGACTGAACTCTCGCGAGTAGGTCTTGCCGCAAGCGGGCCCCCGAGCATTGAATCAAACACCGTAGGTGGGTGGCAGTGAACGGAGTGAAGGGGGAGAAATGGAGCACGAGGAGGAGGAGGACGCTGCCGACGACTATCAAAGTTTGCCGCTGAGTTGACGGCGGCACTGAACCATAGAATTACACCAATAATATCTTATCAGCCTGCAGGATTCACGTGCGCCACGCGCGCGCAAAGCGAAAACCAGAGACCTGTACTGCGCCCACGTCTGCGGGACGTGCGCCAACCCGCTGCTGCAGCCGTCGCTGCTTCGGGAATCTTCTGGGATCAACCGAAAAATGCAATGCAAGAAAAAAAAAACTGCAACGCAGGTCTTCGCAAACCTGGGTCAGCCAATATGCGCGGCCGCCTCGCGGCCACGAGCGGCTCGCTAACCCGGGTCAGCTAGAGGGGGTCTTCGCAGAATCCTCCAGGATCTGGCGCTCTGGCTGACCCCCGTTTGCACTGACCCCCGTCTCTTAGGCCCCGACTACTGGCGCGTGAGCGCAAGCTCCGGCCACATGCCGCCGACTAAATGACGGCGGCGCCGATGCCTGCACAGACAGAGCTACACAGGCCACACCACGACAGGGCCTGCCCCCATGGCCAGGCCAGGAGACTATGCCCACGACGTGTCGGCGAAAGGGCCGCCCGAGGAGCCAGAGTCACGGAGCTCAGAGCCTGAACTCCCCTGCCGCTGAATTGACGGTGACATTTAAACATGAACTGGCAATTGCACCAAACATATTTTACCAGCCTGCAGGATTCACGTGCGCCACCCGCGCGCAAAGCGAAAACCAGACCTGTACAGAGCCCATGCCTGCGGGACGTGCGCTAACTCGCTGCTACAGCCGTCGCTGCTTGACTCTGCATTGCGCCTACTCGCGTGTGAGCTTACGCCCCGCGGACTCCCCGCCCACGAGGGGCAGATTGGCGAAGGGCTGCCTGCAGAGGTTCTTGAAAACCAGCCCGCAGAGGCGGCGCTCCAGCATGCTGACGGTGCGGTTCTGCTCGGCGCGCACCAGCCTCCGGACGCGGATGGTAATCTGCGCCTGCCGCTGGCGCATGGCCCGGGTTTCCCAGCCGACGTCGCTGAACTCTGCCAGCATCATGTCGGAGGTGCCGTCGACGCGGACCCTCGCCATCGGGGAAGGGGTACGGTCCTGCCGCTCTCGGCCGCGTGCCATGCGGTGTCGGCCTTGGTCCTGCACCTCCTCTGACGTACCCGAGCCTTGGTCCTCCGCCTCCTCCTTCTCATCCACCAGCTCTGCCCCGTTGATGGCGTGGATCTCGGGATCAGCGCCCATCAAGCCCGTGTCGATGCCCACCCGAGCTGGAGGTTGGAATTCCTTTCCGCACATGTTTGTCACTGCCTGGTTCGCCGCCGCAACCATGAAGAAACACTTGTGGACGGGGATACCGTAGGTCTGAGCCCTAATGGCTTGAGCCAAACCCGCTAAGGAGGCAGTATTGAAGCCCTCTTGGGGCCTTCTTCTGGCCGTCTTGGGCGCCTCTTGGGCCGTCTTGGGGCTCTCTGGGGCCGTCTTCGGACTCTCTTGTAAACCTCCTTTTGGGCCGTCTTGGGGCAGTTCGGGGGGGGGCGTTTGCGTCGCCGTGGAAGCACGAAAATCGCATGTGCTGCAAAAGTTCGTTTTCCCCAAGGTAATGAAACGAATTAGAATTCATGGAGCCCTCTTTGGGCGTTTTGGGGGGCTCTCGGCTCTTCTTGAGGCCATCTTGGCGCGTCTCGGAACGCTTGCGGGGGGTCTGGGGGGGTCTCGGGCTGGTCCTGGCGGCCTCTGGAGCCGTCCGAGAATCCTCAGGGCCCCCGCTAGGAAGCCCTTGGGCCGCCCGGGGCCCCCATGCCACGACGTGGCCGTGGTTCTGGGCCCGCCCCTGGACGACGGCGGCGACGACGACGACGACGACGACGGCGGCGGCGACGACGAAGGCGACGACCGCAGCGGCGGCGGCGGCGGCGGCGGCGCTGACGACCCCAGAATTCGAAATCGGCTCGGCATGGGTCCCCAGACCTCTTCGGGGGTCTGTCCGGCGGCGATGTTCGCCCCGTGGAATCAGTTTTGAAGCCTCTAGGGAGACTCTTGGGTTTTCTCGGGGGCCTCGTGGAGGCTTCAGGGGGCCTTTTGGGGTGGAAAGCTCAGATTGTCGGTCAGTCCCACCAGCCCTTTGGGCGTGAGTGGTTTAGCGAGCTCTCTCTGTTCTCAACCCCCCTTCTTCCCCTTCGGTGAGGGGTTTACCCCTCCCCCTACCCCCTCCCCCTGGACCTGGAGAGGGGGTTTCGCGGGTGGTCAGAGGGTCCTTGTTCTATCCCTGGGAGGGCTAAAATTCGACACCCCTCACGAGGATCGTGGCCCCGACGGGGGTACTGACAAAAATGCTCGCCCCATCTGTGATCGATCGCCCCAAAGATGGCCCCAACAGGCCCCCAAGACGCTCCAAGAGGCGCCCAAGAGGGCCCCCGGACGCTCCCAAGAGGCTCAAAAGAGAGCCCAAGAGGCCCCTCTACGATCTCCAAGAGGCCTCCAAACTGCCTTGGATACGACTACTTGTACTACTACTACTACTACTACTACTACTACTACTACTACTACTACTACTACTACTACTACTACTACTACTACTACTACTACTACTACTACTA